GACATCAGCTTTAGGATTTCAACATCTATTCTTTGTTCTATTGTGTAGTTCCTTTCTCTTTTTCTAATAAACCTATAAAGGGATAAGTTTCTCGATGTAGTGTATTTCACCATGGAATGGCCGATTGTCAAGAATGTATACCCAAGATATCGCGTATAGGAGATTTCTTGAAACAGGAATGTATCTCCAAAGGCTCCACTTCTATCAACAAACATACCCTGTCATGCACATTCGGGTCAAGACCAACCACCTAAAGGAATAATTGTTAAATCTGTACAGGGAATCTTACATTCGGCCAGAATGTTGTCTTCGTGTTTGTTGCTGGATGTTATAGATATGTTCACTGGGTTTATTGTGTGGTCTTACATTTATCATTCTGTAAGAAAGTTTCATATTTAGGTTGATGTAGATGGCCAGGCTATTGTATGATTTTGCGGAAGCAAAAGGAGCTAAACGATTAGCTAAGAGTTTCCTAAAAATTTTATAATCGTGTTTTATAATGCTACGGGCCTGTAGTTAGCTGGGGTCGTTAGGTGTTTTTGCGCTGGTTTGGAACTGACTGCGCGCGATATCAGAATGTTGAAATTGCAAATGAGGTTCTTCTCCGCTCAGCAGAGAGGAGTAAGTTCCAGTAGGGCTTGGCCTATATCTGTGATAAATTGCTTGTAGTGTGTATAGGAAAAAACCCGTCTGGGCCCGGCGCTTTGTAAAATGGTTGTTCCTTAATAACTGTACACAGCTCCTACATAGTAATGGGTGCGTTCAAGATTAATCTGTCTTCCCTTTTTAAGTTTAGGGAGGTGAAGTGCTGAGAAAAAAAGCGTCAAAAGAATCTCTATGGAACGTAGGGTGTATGTCTAGCGATAAACAGTTATAAAGCTTTACTATAGAAGTCTCCAAACACTTGGGCTATCTTTGGGGGCAAAAAATATAGGGGTGCCATCTGTTTCAAACAAAAATTGCGGATGGCCAAGCTATTGTGTACCTTGTTCTAGCATGCATATGACCTTTTGCTCAATGCTGCTTTTTCTGGGTGATCTGAAATGCTTTCCAATGCAATGCAAGAGAATCCTGACTACCTATGGCAACTGAAAAGCAAATCCTGGTACAGGGGGTTTAAGCCACAAGCATGAGACCCAAATGTTGGGGGTGCGAGACTGGCAATCTGAATAATCTAAAAGAATGTTTGTGCAAATACACTTGTTTTGTAGTTGTGATTTACAATTTTTATATAATTAAAAATAACAACTTTTTATGTTTTTTTGTTAAAGCTGCTATGCTCCTAGCTATCCATATGTGATGCCATACTGGTACCTAATGATGTAATGATAATGATTTCAAAAGTCTGGTGAAGAGATGTTTGAAATATTGGACATATTAAGCAGGGGCGGACTGGCAACTCATGGGGCCCCTCGGGCAATAGGGGATCATGGGGCCCCTGTGTCCTTGCCCCAAACTCAAAAAAGCCTATGAAAAAGGTACCAGGGGCATCTCATGGGGCCCCCTACTGACCCCCGGGCCCTCGGGCAGTGCCGAGTTTCCAAATGGTTAGTATATTATGAAACCTCACAAGAGGTTAAAAATTCAGCAGTGTGGTTTGGGGTGCTAGCCCACTGAGCCACTTGGAATTCCCTAACTGCCTCTCAGGGGTATACAGTGAAGCAAGATGCCAAACACACTGAAAAAAATGATTTTGTTTTTTACATACACTTTAATCTGTTACATATAAATAAGTTATTGCTAATTGTATAGTGTTTAGTGAACAATAAACTCATATGTTTGACAGTGGCAGACACCAGCCAGCCGACCACTTTTGAGGAAAAGATGATCATACAGAGGTGGAATTCTTGTACGATGACGATTGCTCCACCAATCAAGGTGAGGTATGCTGAGAGTTGCCTGTTCTTGTCTCCTTTTCTTTTCCATCTCAACTAAGCTACGCACATGTAAATGTTCATGTTTAGATGCAAGTCAACAAAAAAAATATCTTTCAGAATCTGACTGCCCTACTATGAATATGGCAAGCCTTAAATCATATTTAAAAAAGTGATGTTCCCCTGTATATTAAATCCAGAAAGGATGATGCCTTCCTGAACTTTCCTGAAAATGTTAGAATCCTGGATGTTATACTAAATCAGTGACAAGTACAGGGGCGGACTGACCATTTGGAAACTCGGGCACTGCCCGAGGGCCGGGGTCAGTGGGGGGCCCATGAGATGCCCTGGTACCTTTTTTCATAGGCTTTTTTGAGTTTGGGCAAGGACACAGAGGCCCCCATGATCCCCTATTGCCTGGGGGCCCCATGAGTTGTCCCTCCGCCCCTGGACAAGTATATTCTAAGTTTCTGACCTAGAACGGGCATACAGATCTACTATTCTGACTTTACTCTGATATTCCTAGTCAGTGACTCTAAAAAACTACTTAAAGGATAAGTTCACCTTTGGGAACATGTTATATGTTCCACCCATTTTAAGGGTGGAACATGTAACATGTTCCCATAGCTGCAGGCGCACCCGGTGCCCCCCCTCTCTGTGACAGATTCCACGGGGAGAAGTTTCCCTGTACTATCTCTCAGATTTGAAAACAGCGTTCCCGTGTGGGGCTCTGCCCACATGGCCGTGTCACTCATTCACAGAGTTCCTACAGAGTGAATGAGTACCTACAAGTCCCAGCAGCCTTAGCGGCTGTCGGTTTGTTAGTTTTCAATGAACTACCACGGCACTGTGGAGAGTCATGGTAGTTCATTGAAGCTTCCTGTCAGTATACAGGTGAAACTTGAAAAATTAGAATATCGTGCAAAAGTTAATTTATTTCAGTAATGCAACTTAAAAGGTGAAACTAATATATGAGATAGACTCATTACATGCAAAGCAAGATAGTTCAAGCTGTGATTTGTCATAATTGTGATGATTATGGCTTACAGCTCATGAAAACCCCAAATCCACAATCTCAGAAAATTAGAATATTGTGAAAAGGTGCAATATTCTCGGCTCAAAGTGTCCCACTCTAATCAGCTAATTAAGCCATAACACCTGCAAAGGGTTCCTGAGCCTTTAAATGGTCTCTCAGTCTGTTCAGTAGGAATCACAATCATGGGAAAGACTGCTGACCTGACAGTTGTGCAGAAAACCATCATTGACACCCTCCATAAGGAGGGAAAGCCTCAAAGGTAATTGCAAAAGAAGTTGGATGTTCCCAAAGTGCTGTATCAAAGCCCATTAATAGAAAGTTATGTGGAAGGGAAAAGTGTGTACGAAAAAGGTGCACAAGCAGCAGGGATGACCGCAGCCTGGAGAGGATTGTCAGGAAAAGGCCATTCAAAAGTGTTGGGGACTTTCACAAAGAGTGGACTGAGGCTGGAGTCAGTGCATCAAGAACCACCACACACAGACGGATCCTGGACATGGGCTTCAAATGTGGTATTCCTCTTGTCAAGCCGCTCCTGAAAAACAAACAACTTCAGAAGAGTCTTACCTGGGCTAAAGAAAAACAGACCTGGTCTGTTGCTCAGTGGTCCAAAGTCCGTCTTTTCTGAATATAGCAACTTTGCATCTCATTTGGAAACCAAGGACCCAGAGTATGGAGGAAGAATGGAGAGGCACACACTGCAAGATGCTTGAAGTCCAGTGTGAAGTTTCCACAGTCTGTGTTGATTTGGGGAGCCATGTCATCTGCTGGTGTTGGTCCACTCTGCTTCATTAAGTCCGGGGTCAATGCAGCCATCTACCTTTTGGAGCACTTCATGCTTCCTTCCGCAGACGAGCTTTATGGGGATGCTGACTTCATTTTCCAGCAGGACTTGGCACCTGCCCACACTGCCAAAAGCACCAAAACCTGGTTCAATGACCGTGGGATTACTGTGCTTGATTGGTCAACAAACTCGCCTGACCTGAACCCCATAGAGAATCTATGGGGCATTGCCAAGAGGAAGATGACAGATATTAGACTGAACAATGCAGAAGAGCTGAAGGCCGCTATTGAAGCATCCTGGTCTTCCATAACACCTCAGCAGTGCCACAGGCTGATAGCTTCCATGCCACGCCGCACTAAGGCAGTTATTGCTGCAAAGGGGCCCAAACCAAGTACTGAGTACATATGCATGCTTATACTTTTCAGAGTTCCAATATTGTTCTATGTACAATCCTTGTTTTATTGATTGCATGTAATATTCTAATTTTCTGAGATTGTGGATTTGGGGTTTTCATGAGCTGTAAGCCATAATTATCACAATTATAACAAATCACGGCTTGAACTATCTTGCTTTGCATGTAATGAGTCTATCTCATATATTAGTTTCACCTTTTAAGTTGCATTATTGAAATAAATTAACTTTTGCACGATATTCTAATTTTTCAAGTTTCACCTGTATCTGCTTGACCATACATCCCATACAACAAGCAGATATTCTGACAGTCCTGCAGGAGATGGAGGATCTACTGATCGCTGGTGCAATGCTTTCCAGGCTCCTGCAGACAAAAATAACAAATGCACATTTTTTTACCTGGAAAAAAATGTGCATTTATTATTTTTTCAAAAAGGTGAACTTCTCCTTTAAAGTGGTTGTAAACCCTTACCTTAAAGTGCCTGGTCTCAGGTGATACACAGAGATTAAACAGATCCTCCTACATAAGTTGTACCTGTCTATCTTTAGTCTTGTTTTCTCTACATCCGTGCAAAATGTTGAATGTTAAAGCTTAGAGAGCTGAAGTTATGCTCTTTAGAGACAAGTGAGCCGAGCTCTGAGAATTGATTGGAGGGAATAAACACACCCCTCCACACAGCACACAGGAATAGAACTGAGGCTGTCAACCTGCTGGAGGTCCCTCCCCTTTCACCATTTTTCTCTAGGTGTCAGGAAAACGTGTTAGACTGGATTCATGATGATAGTAGAGGAACAAGGCAGCAGACAGACATTATACTTAATGCTCTTAACTGAGACAAGTACACACTATGGAAAGATATGTTTTGTTCATATTTCATGTTTGAGGTTTACAACCACTTTAACCACTTCCCGTCTGGTCCATGTATATAAACGGGTGGACGGGAGCAGTGCAGGGGCGGGTGGTCGTTTATAAATGTCCTCCCCACTCCCTGCTTGTGTGCACTCCCTGGGAGCGTGCAGCACCGCGAACTGCGATCCTCTGCGTAAAGTCCCGATCATGTGATCACTGATTGGTCAGTCAGTGATCACATGAAGAGCAGTAAGCAATGATGTCACTTCTGACATCATTGCTTACTACGTGTGAAATCTGTGAATGATCACAGAGATCACATGGTACAAGGCTATTCATAACAGCCTTGTACCATGTGACAAGCTGTGACCAATCACAGCTCACACAGTATTTCTCAATGGCTGCATGAATACAGTCAGAGAGGAGAAATGACTGCTTTTACAGCCTATATGTGTGTAAATGCAATCAGTGTAAAAAAAAAAATCTTCAGCACCCCTCACAAGTAGTACAGTGTGACACTGTACTGCTAGGGTGACAGTAAGTAAAAAAAATCATAAATAATAATATAAAAATACAATAAAAATGTAAAACATTTTTTTTAAAAATTATAATTTTTGGTTATAAACTAATTTGGGTTATTTTTTTTTACTAAAAAGATAACTGAATACATTTTGGCCAAGATTTATGAAGAAATATTATTTATTTGCAAAATTGTATAAGAAAAACACTTTTGAAATTTTTGGACTTTTTTTATTTATATAGCAAAAAAAGAAAAAAAAATCCCAGTGGTGAATAAATACCACCAAAAGTTTTATCTGTCTCAAAATGCAAAAAAATTAATATGGGTACAGTGTTGCATGACCGCGCAATTGTCATTCAAAGTGTGATAGCACTGAAAGCTGAAAATTGGCCTGGACAGGAAGGGGGTAAAAGTGTCCAGACAGGAAGTGGTTAAACCATAAATAGCCAGGTAGCTTTTATTTTCAAAACAATGTCAGCAATGTCAGCCTCCATGGTTTTTTCAGCAAATGTGTAAAACTAAACTCTAGCTAAAAATAAATAAATACATAAATAAATATATATATTGCCCAGTAATGTCAAAAATAAAAAAGCAGCCTTACTACATATCCTCAGTCTTCAGGGTTGAATGACAGTCATTGTCATTCAGTGAACTTCCCTCTGAGCCCAGGCTGTCATGGATCTGCCTTCTGAGGCAGCATCACCATGCAGCGTGGGTTTTTTATGAATATTACTGCACGGTGTGACATTCACATTATGCCACTGATTGGGAAATTTTGGCAGCAATCTTTAAATGCTAAATGATAGTCTATGGTGCTCATTCCATGCTTGAGTGTAGCTGTGATTACCTGTGCACAATGCATGCTTGGGCTTTGGTGCATAGCTTTATGCATCTATGTGTGACATGGACTGCAAGGTGCAATACACTGATAAACGTGATGAAAATAGACGATTTTAGATTTAATTTCAGCAGTCCATGTAACAGTACAGGTAGTATGAAAACCTCCAATGTAATTATCCGATACACCCGACACATACAAATAAGCACTACCTAGCTTTAATGCTTTATGGCAGGGGTCTCCAAACCTTTGAAACAAAGGGTCAGTTTACTGTCCTTCAATCTTTAGGGGGGCCAGACTGTGGCCAGTGGGAGTAGAAAATGCCATGGGCTTGGTTTACTAAATGGGGGTAAAAAAAATCTACATAATTGGTGTCAGTGGGAGGAATAGTGTCCCATCATTGGTGTAATTGGGAGGAATAGTGTGCCATCAATGGTGTCAGTGGGAGGAATAACGTCCCATCATTGGTGTCAGTGGGAGGAATAGTGCCCTATTGTTGGTGTCAGTGGAAGTAATAGTACCCCATTGTTGGTGTCAGTGGGAGGAATAGTACCCTGTCTTTGGTGTCAGTGGAAGGGATAGTGCCTTGTATCAGTGGAGTGTCCCAAGGGCTGAATAAAAGCAAGCAAAGCAAATGCCATGGGTTTGGTATACTAAATGGGGGAGCAAAATGTACATAATTGGTGTAACTGGTAGGCATGGTGCCCCATCATTGGTGTCACTGGGAGGAATGGTGCCCCATCATTGGTGTCACTGGGAGGAATGGTGCCCCATTGTTGGTGTCACTGGGAGGAATAGTGCCCCATTGTTGGTGTCACTGGGATGAATGGTGCACCATTGTTGGTGTCACTGGGAGGAATGGTGCCCTATCATTGGTGTCACTGGGATGAATGGTGCCCCATCGTTGGTGTCACTGGGAGGAATGGTGCTCCAGTGTTGGTGTCACTGAAAGGAATGGTGCCCCAGTGTATGTGTCACTGGGAGGAATGGTGCCCCATCCTAGGTGTCACTGGGAGGAATGGTGCTCCAGTGTTTGTATCACTGGGACGAATGGTGCCCCATCGTAGGTGTCACTGGGAGAAATGGTGTCCCATCATTGGTGTCACTGGGAGGAATGGTGTCCCATCATTGGTGTCAGTGGGGGGGAATAGTGCCCCATTGTTGGTGTCAGTGTAAGGGATAGTGCCTCACATTAGTGTAGTGCCCCAAGGGCCAGATAAAAGCAACCAAAGGGCCATGTTCGGCCCACGGGCCGCAGTTTGGACACCCCTGCATTATGATAACAGACAGTGGGCAGAATTCCACTGCTTTTCTGATTTGTCAGCCCTTGTGTTATGTTCAGCAGTATTCCTATGAAGAGTGTGTACATGGGCCCACACTTGAACTTAAAGTATACAATATATCCAGCTAAAACATTTTTCCTTCTTATGGACAGGGTAGGAATAGGTTTGGACTCCTGTCAAGTCTATCACAATCTGGGGCTCCATTAGAGGGATATTCTTTCATTAAATGACAACAGAATTTGCAAGCATAATCAGGAGAAGCCCAGAACACCTGCCAGATGTTTCTTTTTCTCTGTATCTCTGGAAGCAGAATTTTTCTTACTTCCTGTCTGGTGAAAGGATGTCACCGAGGGTAAAGAGAGGGTAAATTTCCCTAACTGAGCCCCAGATCGCAAAAAATCTGTCAGAGGTTTTCTAATCCTTCCCTATTCTATCCATAGCTAGAAATAGCAGAACAGCTTGACACACTTCATCGATGCCAGCTTCCACACAATACTTATTTTTCCACCTATTTTTTTTTTTAAAAGGAGACTGTAAAGCATTTTTCTCTTATTTACCGATTATGTTCTAGTGCAAAACATAAAAATGAATTTTGTTACTTCCATATTCATCTGATTTATAGGTCAGATGTTACTTAAGCGGAACTTCACTCTCTCAATTAACATGGACTAGTTTGAATCATTCTACTGCTAGTATAAGTAAATAGAAAGAAATGAATAGAAAACAGAAAGCATATCACATTTACTTGTTTTTAGCTGTTTTTTATATTCTTTAGTTAATTCCTGGTTTGCAGGCAATTTCCAGCCTATTTTCCTAGGCAAATGATGTCATACATATTCCAGGAGTCTTCAGGAAGAGAGGAGGGGTTTCTATGCTAAGCACACCCTCCTGCCTGCATGCGTGAGCTAAGGGCAGATGGATTCCATGAAGTAATTGCTACATGAATCATCTGCCCTTACTATAGATATCCATGACTAAAAATGCTAGAGGGGTGATGTTTTAAGTGATTTTCAGCAAAATAAATGATGGAGACATGGATGGATGGGAACGTTTTCTTTGAATAATAAAAAGAATTCAAACACTGCTTTTGGTTTGTGGTGATGAAATGCAGTGTAATTCTGTTATAAACTTAGCAAAACACTTTACCTACGTTCTCATATAATATTTATTCCTGGACACATTTAAATATACAGTATATATTCAGTTCTCAGTAGGGTGAAATGTGTGTGGGAACTCAGCAGGGAGCTCCATTTCCCTGCTTTTCAAGAGAAAATAAAATCTATAACGGAAAATGTTTTAAATGGAAGCAGATACTCTCGTCATGATATTGGGGGAAAACTGAACAATCATCAGTGGAGATGTTACTCTCATTCCAGGTCTACTGAACCTTGTGAGCATAAACTGTAACTGCTAAATGAAGGGTAGAAGTAGTTATGCTCGGACAACATGACTATTTTTATATATATATATATATATATATATATATATATATATGTATATATAAAATATATACTGTATAAGTAATAAAATATATATATATATACACACACACACACACACACACATATGTATATATAGTTACATAGTTGCATAGTTAGTCTGGCTGAAAAAAGACAAAAGTCCATCCAGTTCAACCATAGAAAAAAAAAAAAATTGTAATCCCATACCCACAGTTGATCCAGAGGAAGGCAAAAAAGCCCCCAGCAAAGCATGATCCAATTTGCTCCAGACGTAAAGAGTGCCCCCTTGTCCTCTGTGATGACCTCAGGGTGAATAGCTCTACACCGAGATCACTATATGAACCACTGATTTATTTATACATGTTGATCATATCCCCCCTTAATCTCCTCTTCTCAAGAGAGAATAAATTCAGTTCCTCTAATCTTTCCTCATATATACTGTATATTATACTGTATATTATAACATATCCTGTTCCTAGCCTGAAACAGAAGAATGAGTATATGAGTATATATGTGTGACACATGTCGGTTTTGGTGTTACATGGAAAGGTTTCTGTTTAATGTGTGATGATCCAATAATGACTTAAAAGCTTTTAATACAAAGTGGAAAAATGTTCAGGCTGAGACTAACGACCTGTTTTTGATAAACTGACTTCTGCCTTAGACTAATAAGTAATCAATAGACCATGGTTCTGTTTAGCATGCTATGGTTGACAGGTGGAAATGAGCTGTACAAAATCTGCTCTTGTTTTCTTAAGTGATCTTTCTGTACTAGCCTGGTGAGCTCTTAAATGGTGATAGTCTGCCAGAGTTCACAGCCATACAAGCAACCACACTGTGAAGAGTCCCAGGGCACCAATTTCACAGAACTGGCTGAAGCTCAAATGCTTTAAAATATATGTTTACCCAGAATACTGCTCTGGCTCTGTTACATCTTGTTCAGTAATACAAAATTAATATTGCCAAAGAGAATATAGGTTAAAGGCTTTAATATTTTAGTAATAAAGATAATTAGTGTTACGGGTATGCTTACAATATTGGGACACTAGCTTGATAACATTTGATATATTTAAAACTACAGTGAGTCTTATCCAACTCCCTTTTATTTGTGTTAATTAATGTCGCTCAAACATGTCCATGTTCAATTATTCAGGAGTTTGGCTGTTTTTGCTGAAAATCAGGAATCTGAACATGAAATGTAGGTAGGGTATTCAGCAGTTTGGAATGCTGCCACAGCCCTTCTATGAAACCGTGGAGGATGGTCTGGTGTAATGGTGATTTTTAAATTTTTTTTTTTGTTTAATATTTATAACATCAGCCTTCAGGGAAAAACAGTTTCTGAC